GGAGGTTGCGGCGGTGGTGGAGGTTGCGGCGGTGGTGGAGGTTGCGGCGGTGGTGGCGGCTGTGGAGGCGGAAGTTGAGGCAAGGATTAAGATAATCATCGTAATTGTTAAAATGGACACTAGTAACATTCACATATAGTAACCTTTATTGTAATTACTAACCTATTAATAATTAAAATTTAAAAAAAAAACAGCTTCCTTGAAAATTAAAAATATTGGCGACAAGCGCTGGAAACTTTAGTTGCTCTCGATCTATCACTGGTATTCTTGTATTTGCTACAAGCGAGTTTTTCTATTAAAACACCAATCAAATATTCTTTGATAAAATTTTCAACCAGAATTAAAATTTGTCTCGCATAAATCAAATAGAAACAGATCAATCTATCTTCTAACGAAAAGACAAATCAATCTGATGGCCTCAACGCTTACTTTTCAGCAACCAACTAAGTAGTATTTCATTTTATAGAAATTTAGAGATTGCACTTGAGTTTAAAAATGAATAAGTAAATGCAGAGTTAATTTTCCGATGCGTTTAATGTTTATTTTATTTAAAAATTTGAAATACTTATCAGCGCTCTGCATTATAATCAAGAAATGTACAAAAGTTGTATGGTAAAATAGAATGCAATAAAAATAAAGCAATTGAAATGAAATGATTACAACCGTTAAATATAATAAAGAATGGATACATGAAATGATAAGTTGAATAAAATAAATCAAAGGGGGCAATAACCTGCACAAGAATTTTTTGATTATTCTATAATTAATTTATGAGGGTTTTTGTTCTTCAATGAAACTCTGTAAAAGCTAAAGTTGTTCTTTTTGCAACTCATCGATCCATATTTTCGCCTTTTAACCAATATGATGTATTGTTATCTGTTCTCTCTTCATCAAATTTGAAATTGTCAAATTAAATGGTAATTCCCTCTACTGACAGGAGGGTCTTACAAAAAGTGAGTTAAATGCGTTCGTTCATATGTGTGTGTGTGTCCGTTCGTTCACATAGACCAAAAAATGTTTTTTTGACCTCTCACATGAAAATGCTCTTAAACGTTTTATCTAAGTTTTTTTAGATCGGATAATCCGATAGCGCTGTCAGTTTTTTGAAATTTTGCTTTTCCCGTTTTCAGGAGAGAGACGTTTTCACAAAAAAAGATAGTTTTTATAGTTTGAGGAATGCTCGTATTAATGTATATGTTGAATAATTGCATACGTTGTCTGTGTATACATCTTATTGAGAGGAATTCATGTATACTTGCAAACTGTGGTATCATATGCCCAGGTCGAGTAGTCCGGCCTGGAAACGGCTGGTTCCGTTGATTTTGTGGAAGCAGTATTCCGGTTGGAAATTTTCCGATGATTTCCGATCAATTTCTGTCGGAAAGCACCGGAACTTGGCAGGAATCCATCGAGAAAAGTCCGGCAGTTTTTTGACCGGAATACTACTTCCATGTTCCAGCGATTCTCGTGTTTCCCTGCAGGATATGGTGACTTTCCGGCATATTCCCTGGAATATCCCACGAGATCCAGTGGCTGGAATGTTCGCCCTGGGTGCATGTTAATGAGGGGTGGCCCAGAATTAAGTAGACTGTTAGTGTTTTTGTAATTTCCCCTCTATCATCCCCATGATGAAGATACTTTTTTTATCAAAAGATAATGCTTGAAATTCTGTACAAAATTATATATGACTAGGCCAAAAAAACTGTTTAGATATATTTGAAAAACAGATGAAAAGTAACGACACATAAAAAACTGGGAAAGGTGACGGCCCATGTAAAAAAATTTTCCATTGTAAGCTATTTTTAAGCGGCTTAAAATAGCTTTTTTCTAACTTAATAAGTTAAAAGCACTTGAGTTTGCATGATTTAAGCGATTAAAAGTTATTTTTCTGAAGCAAGCCCTTGATTTGGCTTAAAAATATTCTTTTAAGCGCTTATCATGGCTTAGTGTGTAATTCGCTTAACGGTGCTGAAAAGTTTCTTATTCTTAAGTACTTTAAAGTAATTATTAAGTAAATGACTTGGGAGTTCTTGAAGTTTTATCCAATTTAAGCAGTTTTAAGCGCTTGTTATGTAGAAAGTCTGAATTCTCTGTTCACTTTTTGTTAATTCAGCGATTAAAAGTACTTAGTACACGAATCATTTGTGAATATAGAAGACTTCAGAGTTTTTAAGAGAATTCTACTCGTAGTAAAACTTCACAGCAAATCTCAATAAGATCCTTTTTAATGTTCAACTTTTGTAAAAAAAAGTCTCTTTATATGGTAGTATAATGTCATCAGTAAGTAAAGCAGTTTTTATTTTGCGTATGATTATAGCATGAAACTATCCAAAACATGGTATTATAGACGATATCGTTGGTTTTTGCGCTAAGAATGCTATTATATTATAGATGCCAATCGATAGAGCTTGAACAGCTGGATCTGGCATAAGTGGTTTTAAACTCAACTCAGGTTTATAAATGAATTGAGGCTATAAAATCTTGAATGTCGTGCTAACTTTGCCTACATGAATGTAAAAGTATTAAATTTCTTACATACTAAGAAATTGCCCTTCAAAAAGGATCAGAATTATGCTCATGATGTAACATAGTACTATCGGTGCTTTATCGAGATTTAAATTCTTTCCTATAATACATCTTACAGTGCTGACAGAGAATCTTAACAAGTCTTCCAATATAATTTTTTAGCGATTTGCTTGTTGATAGTGGTACAAAAATATGGGTTGTTACGTAAACCGCGATCGAAGATTATGCTTGGAAGATGTATAAGTCTCATAATTAGTTTTTTTTACCAGCTTGTGAAACTGATGATAACACACTGATAAAATTGATACGAAATATCACTGAATGAGATCATCCTACAAACCAGTTACAATCAAAAGTACGTTTTTCAGTGGTCAAACTAATTCAGAAGAGCAATCTTTAAATCTACCACTACCATCTGATAATTTTGCTCGACTTTTTACTATTGTTACATATTTTCTTTGATACTGGGAAATCTAAAAGTTAAAGTATTACATCAAACTTAAATAAAATGCTTTTCGATGACGAAATCTTTCGGAAAAAAATAAAAAATACTGAAGAACAAATTATAGGATCAGGTTAATGTCAGGTTTCACATGCCGTTGACCCGATAGTGTTGAAGCATAAATTCTTAAAACCCATTTTCTTTTAAGAGAAAAAGATTAATTATGCAAATTCTAAAATGAATTTTTTCACAAAAAGTAATCAAACTCAGAAATATTTACAAGAATTAAAATTCTTCTAGTGTGTAATTGGAAACACGACTAAAACAAAAGAGTGTAACTTAGTGTGAAATCTTATTTTCGTATAATTTATAATTTACTTTCATCGTTATCGATTTATACGACAATGTAGTAAGTGGCTTCTTCTACTGACTTCCAATTCGATCGACTACAGGAGCAAAGTTCAAGACCAGGTTCTGGTATATATCAGAACTGTTTCAAAACTTCGATCGGCTAGCTGCTAATGAAGTAAAACGTAAGTAAAATGAAATAAAATGGTACTTGGCACAATTTCAAGTATATTTCGTTCATCAAGAGTTCAGAGTCGCGAATAGTTTCTTTTTTTCAATATTCTATTTTATCAGTTAAAAGCGCTTGGATGTTTGATCCTAAGCACTTAAAAGTGCTTAGATGTCTTGTTCTAAGCACTTTTAGTCGCTTAAAAATGTGCGCTGAAAGGTGCTGTTTAAGCGAATTTTTAGCCGAGTTTAAGCTAGCTTTTTCGCTGAAATTTTTACATGGGGAGTTAAAAATTCACTGATGAAAATTAAAAGAAAAATGTTCGATTCGATCGCATATGTATTGATGTCAGCGGCGGCTCCCCAAAAATTCTTAAAATTACCAGTAATTTGGTGGCGGCGGCGGCTGATATTATGGAAAAATCGGCTGCTGCGGCGGCTCAGTCATACGGCTGACACCTCTACTTGTACCTTCGTTTATTTGTTATGTTCAACTTTATCTAAATTTTTTCTGTCTATCATCGGCAATACAATGCAAGGAATGATGACTGAGAATTATACGTCATTCAGCTATTTTTTTTTTCTTGTTCCATCTCGTCAAGTGATTTTTTCTCTTTCGTCAATAACGCTACTCATTCAAGGATCACCAATAGTTTATAACCAATTAGAAGTATACCAAAGAAGAAATAAAAAGATGCAATTGTCATATGCTAGGTTGATCAAAATGAAGGTCGACCATTACAACGAGTACAGATAGAGTAGGTTGTTATTTGTGAATTATCAAAACCACATTATATAGTAGATACAGAAGTTCGAAATGAAGAAATAAAATATGCAGATGCTTTTTTTGTTGCATCTCGTTACCGCCTTGTATAACTTGTATCCAATAAATCACATTTTAAAATTGCTTCTGAAGTTCCAGAGATGGGCAAGTCAAGTCATTTTTGACTTAAAACCAGTCAAGTCAAGTCATTTTTGACTTGACTCTGACTTGACTAGGAAATTTTAAAAAATAACTTGACTCGACTCTGACTTGACTTGGAAATTTTAAAAAATAACTTGACTTGACTTGAAATTATTTTNACTTGACTTGACTTGAAATTCTCAAAAAATGACTTGACTTGACTTGAAAGTATGTTGAACAAGTCATGACTTGACTTGAAATTATTTTAAGCAAATCATGACTTGACTTGACTTGACTTGAAATTTTCAAAAAATGACTTGACTTGACTTGAGTCGGAAAAAAGGCTGACTTGCCCATCTCTGTGAAGTTCTATATGTTAGGAGTTTAATGATAATTATTAAACATAGGTAAGACAAGATTTTTTCTTTTCCTCTTTAATTGTGTCCTATCGTTTTTTTCTCTCGATTTGATGAGACAGTTCGTATCCATTATTTCTTTTTTTATGATTTCTAATAACTTAACGATGGTTTCAAATCGACAAAATTATTGCATCAAACAGAAATAATTCGATTATATTAAAAAACTGTTCGAATGGCTCATTCTCAAAAGAGATACTTTTCTTAATATAATCTGCTGCATTTTCTTAAGCATAACTACTTAGTGCTTTCGTGTAGCTACTGAGTGAATATCATTATATTGTTTTTAAGGCAAAATTCAAACAAAACATTTTGTATTCACAATGTGAATCTGTATTTGATTCATTAGAATAGTCAAATATTTATGATATTGGGGGTATTAATGATATAAAAGAAGAAGAGATACGTAATAGGATTTTTTGGAAAAATATGTAAAACCATATTAATAAGGTTTGTCTCTTGTTTGTAATATGGCTGAGATGCTTTTTTTAATTGATGTAAAATCTTTTGAAGAGGTACATGAACTTTCAATAAATGCATGATCTGTGAATAATTATAGTAAAGTTGGAAGCAGCTATACAATCATCAAGTAGCTATGAATTCATTAAATAGCTATAAGAAATCATTAAGTAGCTATGGGTATTTTTTTAAAAGTATCTCTTTTGAGAAGCTACGGTTCGAATAGAAAGAAAAAACACTATAAAATATTTTTCTAAACCTAAAAAGAAAAATTATTATATTTTATATTTTAATTTAGCATTCATCGAAAACAATACGATGGCAGCTCTTCACAATTATTATATTGATTGAAGTAAGTTATTTTCTTTTTCAATTTATGAACTTGCTCATGCTCCAATGTTTGGCTTTTTATAATTTATTATTGCTTTTTTAAAAGACAATTTAATCGAACTATCAATATCATCAAGTGTTTTGCTAAAATTTGTTTTTTTTTCTTATTAGAGAAATGAATCTATTTTTATTCTTGTTTTTTCAAATATTTAGTAAAAACTAATTGAAATTGAATGTTCAAATTTACAACGATCATCAAGGATTAATAATAAAAATAATGAGCAAGATAATTAAAATCCATCAATACAAATATCGAAAAAGAAATATTCACATTAGCAACAAACAAATAGATTAAATTCTACATCACATGATTCTTAAATAGGTTAGCAAAGAAATCATAATGGAATTAATCATCGTAGCCAAAGTAAATCTTTATAAATATTTTCTCATTTAAAATCTGAATCATTGTTTTCAAAAAAATTATTAAAAAAAATAAGAAATGAAATATTAGAAATTAATCTATTAATTAATATGATGACAAAAGATTTCATTGTTTTTTTTTCAAATTTTCTTCTGTTGATATCAATCAATAATAGACGAAAATTCGACTGATATTGATCTTTTTTTTTCAAAAAAAATTCATTGAGAAAATGATTATATAATTGTTTTTCTCTTCATAATTAATATGTTGAGCACTTTCACTAAATAGAAATAAATGAATTCAACAAAAATTTAGATAAATTAAAAACACCCATTAAAATGAATAGTTAGTCATCAGCATAAATATTTATTCCTTTTAATTAATGATCCTCTCTTTCATAAAATTTATCCGTATAAATAATGACGACAAGAAAAAGACTACAATTATGAAACCTACGGAATGATTAGTATTTATTGAAGTTGAATCAAATATCAAAGGAGAAAATGAATAATATTTTTGAAAAACATTTCATATAAATAATTTGAAGTTTAGGTTCAAAATTAGTTTTATCTCCATCGTCAAATTATCAAATAATAATATTTCCATTCCATTTTTTGTTTAAGAATGTTAATCCTTCTTAGTGTGAGTATATTTTTATGGTTAAAATTAAACCAAATCGATCGGATGACTGATCGTCTTGTACAAAATTATCCATTATGGTCCGATGGATATTCGTAATTAAAATAATAAATTGATTTACTAAAGAAATCATAATGTTAATTGTTTTGGTTAGGTATCCAAAAGAAGAATATCAGTGGTCTTTATTATTAAAAAGACAAGAAGAATATTATCAAACAAAATTAAATGGTCTTCGTTCAGTCTTAATATTAACCCATAACGCATTAAAAAATGTTTGTCTAAATTTTAGGAAAAATAAAACGAAATAACTTTCCTTTGTTTTCAATAGGTTACAGATGCTCTAAATGAATTAACAAAAGTAAGCAGTAGAACAAATTCAAATGCACCTATCGATCATCTTCATTCATCTTAACTATTTTTATTTTGGTGCTAGTTCTTTTTTATCCCGGTGTTTTTATATCTTTGCTTGCTTTGCTGTTGAACAGTCTCCATTGGAATTTTTTTTTTCGTTTATTGTGTATTTAATTCATGAGGAGAAATATGAATCCGATTGTAAATAACATTGATCTAGATCTAATAACTTGTATAAAACTAAAATAGAACTGGAGAAGAAGATGACTAATGTTCTTCGAGAACAAGAACGAATTTGAAGAAAAAATAACTTGCAAACATGAGAATTTTTTTAATGAGTATTTCAAAAAATATTCAATGCTAGCGAAACCAAATCAATCGTTCTTTCGTTCTGGTTTTGAATAAACAATATCAAGTATGGTTCAATCATGGAAATGAACGAGGAAATCTATCAATATAATCGAAATATTCGTTGTGAAATGTTCGTTATTTTTAAAAATAAAAATAGAAATGTGTTTTGTATATCGGATTGATTTTGAATCAAGAGATTGATAATGTTTACTTCAGTATTATTTTATTTTCTATATGAAGTTAATGTTTGTATTATTGAATAGCGATGGCAAATAGAAAAATTCAAAAATAGAATCATAGTTTGTTGTCGGTATTAGAATATAATAATGCAATCACATTGTTTTGATAAAATGACCTAGATAATCTAGAATAAAATTCTGATTGAAATAAAGGAGAAGATTATAGTATCTTACTGAATTGATATCAAAGATGAGTGTAGTGTCATAGATACATTTTTTAAGATTAATCTGATTGATCTACTACATTCATTTCTTGTCTTTGTTATATGACAATGAAGATCTTTTTTTTCATAAACACGAAAATTAATGTCAAAATATGAATATAGCATAAAATATCAATAACCTGTTTCGATCGATGTTTTTGAATGTTTAATTATCAACGAAGACTTTCTAATCGATATGTCACATTCAATACTTGTATGAGATGAAATTATTTTGACTAAAGTTCAATTAAAAACAAAAATTAATTAATAGAAATATGTGGAAAAATCAATGTTTTACGAAAGAGATTCATTCGATTCAGTGTTTGTGACATTGTTGGATTAAACAATGGAATAGACTGATGATGATCAATCAATTTAGTTAAAATTGTTTCTGACAATTCAATTTCAGTCATTTTTGAAATTTGAACACCCATACGCCAACTAATTAATAGAATACAATAGGAAAATATAGTTTAGTTTATTTTTAGAAAAAAAATCTACTATTATTAAAAGAAAATTTAATATGTAAATCATCGAATTTTTATTTCATCAAAATAAAGTACTTTACTCTGTTAATTGAGCGTCATCAGAATAGATACATTTGTAAAAATTAGCTTCAAGTAATGGAATCGCTTTTATTATATAACATTGTTCGTTGTCTAAAATTTATCAGAAGTAATTCATCAAGTTTAAGTTTAAATTTGGAGACAAAAAAAGGAATACTTGATTCTGAATAAATAAACGAAAAATCATTCAATAGTAACTTGTATTTTTTGTAATATGATCTTTCCCTTTTTGTTTGCTACAATAATAGCACAAAATAATATCAATATAAAAATAAATATTCGATCGAAAATACGGCTTAGTTTTCTTTCGAAATTAAGTTCAAATTAGTCAATGGGATTCTATTAAAGAAACATTTTTAAATTGACTTCAATTAATTTCTTTGAGAAATCTATTACTAATGAAGAGAAAACTTCGAAAGTAAAATTAATATTGCGTTAAATATTTCTACAACAAAGTTTAAATTAGATGTAAAATATACCTGAAACACAGTAGCATCATCTTCCGTATCATTATTTAGGCATGATTTGAAAATAAGAGAACTGAAACGTGTAATTGTTGTTTTACAATTACTAAAAAAAAATAAAATCAAATAAAATCAAAATCAAAATAATTAAAAAAATAAATAACAAACTGTTTAAATACACCATATTCTGGCGATAGAAGAGATAAACCTTTTATTTGCATAGTCATTTCAAAGATTTTCTCATTGGATAAATCCTTTTCTATTTCTTTAATTGTTCTTTGTTTTATTCTAAATAATATGAAAATTCTTTTGATGTTTTCATAAGAATAATTATAATAAACCAACTGTGAAGATACAACGCAATCGTTTTCATCAATTGGTTCAAACTGTGCAACTATTTCATTGATTGTTGCCTATAAAACGCAAGAAATATATTCAAATTTTATTTTCATTGAAAGCTTTCATCAGAAAAAATACTTTTTCTCTTTTACTTACAGCATCATAAATAATCGCCATTGGTTCCATTGTTAAAGAAAATCGATAATCAGACTTTTTATCAATAGGAGCTAATTCAAATTCAATATGTACTAATGAATTTAACGAGTCTGAAGTTGACGCTAATATTAATGGTTGATTATGATCATTGAATTTCAAACCAAATATTCGAAAATATCCTAGATCAATGGCAAGTCTTTAAGACAAAAACAAATCAATAAAATATCAAGGATAACTTTTATTATATACAAGATACTCGACGAAATTGCTCGTCGTTTATAATCAATTCTAGTATTGTCAATTATAATATGACTGATTATTTGATTTTTCTCATTTAATCTATACAAATGAAAAGATTTTCTAAAACTAAAAATATACAAATTATTAAATTCGATTACTTAGTTTTTCTTGTTGGTGATAATAGAGTAAATTCAAGTCTATTCATTATAACTTCTGCATCAATATTTAATAACTACGAGAAAATAAATCACATCTAGAGAATATTTCATAATAAGAAAGAAACTACACTTTTTCAGAGAAAAATTCTTCTTCATTATTCATATTTGTTGTGGTTATACTATGTTGATCTAGAAACATAAACGAATAAAGTAGTATTCTTTCGATTAGACACTGAGTTTTACACATATAACTATAGATCAAATTTTAGTTTTTTTTTCTATTAAACATATATTATGATCAGATTCATTCAAATAATATTTTAAATTTTTACTCAGATTTTGCTAATAGATAGAATTTCAATGGCAGATAAATGTGCTTAAAATTTCATCTATCCAATTAAATTATGCTTATTTCACTAACTGTAAGATTTACATAAAAAGTAAATTTTTATTGAACTTTTCTGCAACAAAAGACTTTATATCTTTTTTTTATCGTTAAAGTTATAAAGAGAAAACTAACTATCTTAGGTTGCACTTTCGCAATATCATAAAACTTTCGTCTTATAAAATAAATCGGATGAGAATATCTGTTTAACAGATTTTTTTGTAGATAATCTACTTCGATAAATTGAAGAATCATTAACAAGTGCTTAGTCAAAAAAGAAAGAGATCTGTTAGATGAATGTTTTCATCATCTTTGCAAATACATGATTGTTAATAAAGCAAACCTTGAATAACGCTGGCTCTTTCACTCCACCACCAGTTCCACCAACTATAATCTTCATGCGAATATGTATTTGAATATAAATGAGCCTAGAATTGATGATTCGAACAAAACAAATATTTAACATAAAAATCACTTATACTTCTAATTCCAAACTATGTCGAATATAGGCCATTGTGAAAACATCTAATTTTGATTCGAGAATCTTGTTTTTTGTTTATTTAAATAAGTATCGAATATTATTTGTTAAGTATTAAAAAAACAACAAGAAAATTACTTCGATGCGTTCTTGCTCTTCTTTTATTAATTTAATGTTTCCAATTAAATCTTTTAGACACAATTGACGATACTCACGACATCGATCTTTGAGGAAAAAGAAAAAGAAATTTCAATAAAATAATCGAATAGAAATGATAATACCATAGAAAACACTGTAATTTTGAAATTTAACAAAATCAAGCAAATCAGATAATTGTTTTGGATCGATTTCAAAGCTCATTTGTGCTATTTTATATTTTATTTTAAATGTTGGTCTTTCGAAGTTTTGTTCGGCAAATTTTATTGCAACTGATAATTCAAGGTTGAGATTTGTTGGATGTAAAACTATTTTTAAAAGAATAAGACTAAAATAGAAAATTTTTTATTTTATCTTCAAACCGTAATTCATTTCGGCGGTTTTTAAAATTTTATCATCTGTAGCTATTTTCGATTTAAGATCATCCTAAAAGGAATTTTATCAATCAATACATTCAGTAAAATAAATCCATGTAAAACTTGTTTAAATTAATAAAGAGTATTAAAAAAGAAAGTATTTGGAAAGGAAATCATCAAAATACTTTTAAGAATTGAGAAAATACTTTCCATTAAACTTTATGATTGAATCCTAATCGTGAAAATGATGAATATATCAAACGGAATAATACTTTAATTTAATTTTGTTAAAATGTTTTACTGAGAAAATTTTAATCTTATGAAGATTTCAATACTAACAAGAATATTTTCGAATGGTAAATAAATTCTTGATCTACAATTAGTATTCCAATAGAGTGATAGCCATTGTATTTCTTTAAGCTAAAATAGAACTGAATAAAGTAAGAAATTATCTAAATAATGTAACCTCAGCAATGACAAGACTATTCTCTGTAACTTTTCCCATTCGCTTTGTATTGGTTGTTGTCTAAGTACAGATTAATGAAAATCTTGAACTAATTTTAACCAAAAGAAATACTTACAGTCAATTGTAAATAATGAATAGTAACTCCAAACGAGAATGGATGTCCTAATTTAGTGGTTGATTTTGTTTCATAACTAACATGAAAATTTCGTAAATTTATTTCAAGATTTTGTAACATTTGAAGTTTGACTTTTTCAAAAAAACTTTTATCTTTTTCATTTGATTTTTTTTCGTCTATACAAAATTAATTATGAAATAGATTAGAAATGAAAAGATCAAATATTTCACCTAATGCCGTTTTTCTAAGAGTATCCAATTTACGTTGAACTTGTTTCATTTTTTCAGCATGATATTCATGTAAATCTTGATATATTTCTAAACAATTAACAATTTAAATATTCATTTATTCGTGACGATGTGTCCCTCACACACTAGCAGAAGTCTATTTTTTTCTCCAAGAATAACCCATCTTGTGGGAATTTTCATGAAATTTTAGTTTCAATCTAGATACTTTACCGTTTAAATTTGAGTCTGTAGTATTGAATCGACGTTCAAAAAGAAAATATCCTTATTGTAAAGAATTCTCGTCAAAACTTAATAAAGCAGAACTCAATTAACCGTGAAACTCTAGCCAATACGACTACTGCTATGATTTATCAAGAGTAGATTTTTAAAGTGTTCGAACACTATACAATTGGTCATGTCTTCGAAGAGATGTTGCATAATGTTCAAAACAACGAAGAGATTATTTACAAAGTATACTCCAAATAATAGCCTCAGATATAAAAAAATTTAATTCCATATTTTTAAAAACCAACATAAGCTTTAATAAACGATCCGATTCTTTAGAATTAATTCAACTATTTCTGTGAATAATAAATATAACATACCATTTTTAGGCACAATTAACATATAGAATCCATCGATATTTACTATTGTTCGATGAGAACGAAGATTTTTCCAGGGAATAATTATTGAAAGTTTTTCTAACAAGAAACCAAAAATTATCATAACTATTATTAAATGTCAATCAATAAATCTAACCAATAAAACCAGCAGCTACTGTTACAGGAACACCAAATCCAATCTGTAATAGATAAATATTGGGATACTATTTTAAAACAGTATAAATATCAAAATAAAAAGACTAACCAATGCTTCAGGTTTCATATGAAGATTTTCTAATGAAACTTTTCCTTAATAAAAGAGAAAATACATCGAAAAATTAAAACAAATAAATATTGAAAAGTGTTAACCATGTTTAAGATCAAGTTTTAATTTTTCATCATCTAATTTTTCAATATAATCTTTCATATATTTATTGATCAGATATCGAACAATCATTTTAAGTACCATTTTCTTGCTTTAATTATTTTTCTAAATACAACAATGAATAATGAAGATTAACTTTTGTCCTTTTCCTTAATAGGAAAATAACTAGTTGTTATGCATGCATTTACAAACGAACGTCACCCGAAATGAAAACGAAACGAAAAAAAAAGAATCTATCAATTTTTTTCCTTTCTTTCTCAATTCCTTCTTTTGCCTTCACAAGAAAAAAAAACTCAAAACAAACAATAGAATTGAAACCAAACGAGAAAACAAATTTAACATCTTCTGGCAAAATTATTTCAATAAATTGATAGCAATGTCTCATAGAAAAACGTATCTATACATATTAAAATTAGGAAAAAGAATTTCCTTTTAAGTTTATCGTGCTTTTAAGTTTGAATTCAAGGTTTTTTTTCTCTGTGAACTATTTTTCAACACAAAATATTATGCTTACATTTGAATCAATTTATCAAATTTGTAGTAATAATCGATCTGAATTTTATTTACTTATAAATTTAAACTTAAAGTTATAAAAAATGATGATTTCCAATCAAGAGTTTTCCATTGATGAGTCGTTCATTTTTGACTTCCGATGCTTTATTTTTCTAGAAAAACTTGATTTATTTCTTCCTTTTTTAAAAGTCAATAGTTAATTTGTCTTGAAAAGTTCTACCTGAGTTTTCATTTTCGGTTGAAGATTGTTGATCCTTCGAATATGAAATATTTTCCTTTTAATTTAATATTGTGTCTGATGCTTGACATAAAACGATCATCTAATGAATGAAGCTCAGATTAACTAAATTCAACAAACATCTACCAATTATTTCGTTTGTATATTAAAATTAATTATAGTTGATATATAAATTCTAGGCATTGTATATCTGCAATAAAGTGAATAGAAGAAGTCGTCATAGAAACCAACGATCGAAATTTATTTCTCTCCTTAAGGGAGGGG